TATTATTATTATTATTATTATTATTATTATTATTATTATTATTATTATTATGTTGCAAAAGGTCCGGTAATGTCGTTGCGTCCAAAGTGCCCTGACTCGACCCGCTATCGCACGACGTACTCGATCAAAAATCCAATGATAATCGATACCTGTATACCGTTCGACGAGTCAGTTTTATTCGTAAAATTGCCATTTTGGAAGATGAAATAAAACGTGTGCGATACGGGGTTAACATCGTCCTAAAGAGAATAAAACTTGGCGGCAAGTTGGCGCGTTTACGAAACCTCCTTCGCGAAACGATAGAAACGGGATATTGTAAAGTAAGACTAACGAATGAGAATTGGAATACGTCGTAGTCGATGCACTGGAGCAAACCGAAGACAAAGGATCGCATGCTGCAGGATGCGAGCGGAGAGGCTGCAGGTTCTCCGGGGCACACCAAGGTCCAAGCCCCGAACGCGCACAGAAGAGCCTCGGAGGGTGGTGCAAATATTTACTACGGTGCACGTCGAGACCTCGGCTGGGAGTCTCAGGCGCCTAGCGAGGTGGCCAACAAGTTCCGCAACTACGAGATCTAAGTTAGTCGACGGGGATTCGAGGGTGAGGAGGGGGGGGCTGGGATTCTTCGGAATTCATGTCACCAGGACCAACAATCATTTACTGCGTGTCAAGTATATCGGATGGAAAATGAAGGATAACGCGTATTATAATACCACCATCTCAACAGGAATTTATCGTTCGTCATTGTCCAACCGATGCGCGATGGGAGAAGAACGGAGAAAGCATCGAACATCGACCTGAAATTTTCCAACTCTGTTTTCGTTGTTTTACGAGGCTGCGGAGGAGTCGAAGCTGGCCTGAGCGTTTTCGTGCGAACGAAAACTTTGAGAACGAGTGAAAGAGTTGAAAAGGTATGCTTTAGTCGTTCAACCTGATTTCGAAATCCTTTTTTAGCGACGTTTCGACGTACCGCACGCGGCGATCGCGATCGGCTGGAAAACGGGGTCGAAAGACGAGGTATTTGCCGCTTTCGATTTTTAATTATTGCCGCGTTGTTGGGTTCCGCGTTCCGCGTTCCGTGTCCCGCGTCCCATGTCGGGACGAAACAGGCACGAGACCTCACGGCAGCGCTCCCAGAAGAAATTGGAGATGTCGGGATGGAAGGTGGTGCGATCGGTTGGACGGTGTTTTGATGTCGTATCGAGACAAATTAAGTATCCACGATTCTACCAAGGAATCGAAACATAAGAGGATAACTAGTTGTTTCTAGTCGTACGTTACTCGCGACAGAATGCTCAAGTGGCTGGGGGAGCGTCATTTTTTTAACTATCAACGCGGTTTTACACGATCGGTAGATATTTGAAGCGTCCAAACGTCGGCGTCAGCGTCGCGTCGTTTCGAGGAAAATCGATGGAGAGTGGATAACTGCCGCGACTATTCGGCAAACTATCAAATTCGTATTCGAGTGGAAAATTGAATATTCGTTTAAACTCGGCTGGCATCCCTCTCCGTCAACCTTTTTAAATACAATTTGAACAAATCGAAGGCATCATCGAAATGTACGCAATTCAAAATGGAATCTACCACTTGGGCTGTTCTTTCACCGTCGAGTAGCTAGAAGGAAAAAAAAGTAACTCGTTGTTTCTACATCGAGTGCTTCTCAGTGGAATGTTTAAACAGTTTATGTTTCGACCGGGATGCTTATCGAAAACTCGTTCCAAAGGTCCGTTTCAAGCGTCGAGAGCAAACTTGATTTTCGTCGACGAGATCGTTCGCGTTCGAGGGAAGCGAGATAAACTGTTTAAAGTTTAAACAATCGGCATTGTTTCCACTGTAGAGCAAATCGATGACGCCGCACTTGTACCTGTGTCAAACGCAAAATGTATATCGTTCTTTCTCGACGATATTTGAATGTTCGGAAAGTCGAAAATACTACACCCCATAGATTTTGCATCGTCCTCATCTGTACTTGTATCGTTCCTTTCTGTACTTTCCTACGCTAAACGAGCAATGTAATCGATCCTGATTTGGCTAAACAAATGTATCCCCTTTACGTTTATTACTAACTTAGGTAATTTACGTAACATTCTCAACAGCAAATTTGATCGTTCAATGGCAGATATGTATATTTATCGTTGCACGTTTCTGTTTCCCCATAGAAGATCGGAATAACATAGCGAGGACCGTTGAACAATTTTTTAACGTAATCGATATACATATATCCTTTGGTAAGTTGAGTTTGGCGTAATTAAGACAGCCAGCCGTAGCAGCCGACGATTGATATCCCAAAATAGCCAAGTCGACTCTCGTGTGTATCGATGTGACCTTTCGATATTAATTTTAAGGCTCGGAGGCGCGGCTTAACCGGATAAGTCTCGTTTCCAGCGAACTGTTAATCCTTCGCGTCCGAATGATATTCTCGAGAGCGAATTTCTCGCTTGAAAAATGTTCACGTTAGCAAAGGTTGCGCGTTGCGCAATACTCTCGACGAAAATCCCAACTTGGACATCGATTTCTTGTTCGAAACGAAAACGAAGAACCAAGCGCAACCGACGAGCACGATGCATATCGATAGCAACAAGGTACAAGGTTTTCGCAATAAAATTCGGAATCCTAGCAATATTCGGTCGTCGAATGTGCTCGAAGGTACTCGAGCTCGACGTCACAGTGCGCTATCGATCGCGGACAGTGAGCACCGTCGAGCACGGATTTTTCAGAATCCGAACGATCCTTCCGGAAAATTCTATTCGATTTCGGAATTTTAATCGCAATCAAATGAAATCGATAGCTCGTCCGAGTTCAAATTAAAAAGGGTTGGCTCCATTCTCGACTTGACGTTTCGGCGCGCCAGGTTTGGAAAAGAAACTCCACGATATTGCCAACATTTTCGATATTGCATCGACAAAATGAAATAAATTTGAACGGCTTGACTTTCTTTTCGCTAATTAGTTACGGCTTACGGCACTTTAGAGTACAAAGGGAGACAAATTGCCGAGTCAAGGGAACAAAGTAGACGAAACGTGAGAATCGTAAAGCGTCACTGCAAGTTGAGAATGAGCCTAAAGAATCTCGAGGCACCGCTCGCGTGCATCTGTCCTCCGCGGACAAAATTTGTCAACTACACCTGTGTGTCCTACATCTATATTTTTCTAGACGCGATTTCTGTCTCGCGAAACATTCTATCTACTATCCATTTATTATTTCCGCGCAATCGATATCGTGCCATCGAGGGAGGGACAAGAAAAAACATGTTCGATTCTCGCAAAACGATTCTCTTTAAGAACAGCTACGATAATAATAGCGGTTCGGTCTGTGTGAGCAAAAAAAATCGGTAAACGAAAATTTCGTCTCTCTCTCTCTCTCGAAACGTGTGAATCTCTGTTACGTATGTATAAATATATAAATATATGATGTATAAAATGTATATTCGTCACGCGCTGGACGACGCGACGATATGTATTCGTACCATTAAAGGTTCAATAAATGTGTTTAATTAAGAACAATTTGCGTCTCGTGTTTGTTAACCCACACGTGTCTAAATTAAATCTTTGAAAATTCGATTCGAACGTTATTCGTTTTATTTCGTTGCGTATATAAGAGAATAAAGTACGATTAAATTTCGCGATCGCGAACATAGCGAAAAATGCGAGTGAATTAACCGAGTGTAAACGCAATGAACAATGGACGCGCGGGATCCTTTGTCATCGTGGCAAACTTTCGCTATCTCTTGGGATACATTCAAGGAGTGTCAAGGACACGGCCCAATTTATACGAGGCGAAACTTAATGCCGTTTGCAATACCGTTTCTGACGAGCGTGCATTCACTGCGTTATCCGCCGTGGACGACGATACACGGTACATGCATCTTTTTACTCATTCACGTCGGCTCTTTTCACGGTAAACTCGAACTCGAAATGGCCATGCGTTCACAAAGCTCGTCTTTGTGGACAATTACCATTAGCACACCCGTTGCGCTGTTTGCGACGGGGATCGGTGTTCTGTTTCGATTAGCCAACCGACAATCACGTATGAACGTTTATGAAAGAATAAAATTAGAAACGAATCCATTTACTTGACGTTATCACGGCGAACCACACGGCGAGTACAAAGTTAGCTTTCGAAATTACCGCAATGGCAATTTTCCAGTAGCTTTCTTGCCAATTTTTAAGATTATCTGTGATCGCTAGCTCTCAAGGGGTTACGCAACTCGACGGAATCAAAACTGGTTAATTAAGCGGACGAGGAGATTCAGGATTTAGCGAAATGCTACGAAAGTTTAATTGGATCGACGGGATGACTAATAAATGTGCGTTCGAGGGCTGATATTCCGCCACGTTGCTAGATTTCATCGCGAAACCGCGTTTGCGGGCTATCGTAATTAGTCAGCCGTAGTTTCGGTCTTTTGTATGAAAGTGCGGTCGATTGGTGGTTTTAACCAACTACGATGAGGCTGAAACACGCAAATTCCCAACAAGTATGCTTCGAATTTTTCTTGTACTTTGAAACGTAGACTGTATGCTTTTTAAATTCTATTATGCGTTTCGTGCATAATCGAAGAGAACATGAACGATTCGTCGTGAAACGATCTACATAATTAAAGGGTAAGGGCGAGGATCGACTCGCGTCGGCGTACATACATAGATATTCTGTTTGCGCGATTGGTCCGCGTCGTCGGCCGTAAATCGTCTTGGCGAACAAAAGGATCACAAACAGCAGGCTCCCGTTAGATAAACGACCGAAATTGTCGAGAAATCTTTGAACCGCGAAACGAATGCCTCGCTCCAGTTCCCAATCATTCACCGGTTGGACAATATTCTCTATCGGGAAACAAAATTGTCTATCGTATAAACTGAGACGTGTAGAACGTGTCGAATCGGCCAGAGACACGGTCCAGGGAATAAAATAACAATTAGTTGGGAATTGCTCGTCTCGACTGTATCGGCTATGGATCGATAGCGATACAATCTCTAACGTTCGTTTGTTTGTCGAATGTAATCCTCGTTGGTTATCGGGCCAGTCGGTCACCATGTATTTCAATGTTCACGGAAAATACATTTTTACGATGAAAGAACGCCGATGCGAGGCTAGCCGTTATCCGTTATGCAATCTCAGACGTGGTGTTTGGGGTGTTTCATCTTTCATTCCCTGTCCCTCGTTAACCAAAAATATCCGCTACTATTTTCGGTAAGGTTAGAGGAATAATTGATTTTCCATCCGTGTTGGTGCAAAGAGTGCCGCGTTGTCGCGAACGCCTTCGGAATTGCATCGATACATTTCTCATGAAGCTGTTTCCTTCAGCTTTGGTACAGTTCCTTGTTAGACAGCGGCGCGAATAATGCATGGACCGTTTCCTTCTATTCGCGATCCACCAGCCATTCAACTGAAACATCGAAGCATTTTCAGGCGATCTGTGCCAGCACGTATGCTGTACACGGCCCCTGGGCTGGGCTAATCGCTCGCGCACAGACCACGTAGATAGATGCAGCTCGCGATGCACTTTAGGAGTTGAGGCCCTTTAGGAGCCATTATCGTGGATGCATTCGCCTCTGGTGGCCGGTGGTTCGATTTCCTGATACGACGAGCGTTCGCTGCGTTCCCCTGATAACGAGCGATCCTTCTTGGCTTTCGATTGGTTCGACGCGCAGCTTCGACGATGCTTTAAACTTTCACCTACCGAACGTGCGGCTACCAAAACGAAATCGAGTCAGGTACGCGCTAGAATGCTCCTTATTTTAATGATTATTTTATCTTCTTTCAACAACAATTCTGATTTAAAACATCCAACATAGTAGACTGTACTTGTATTACGAAAATATTTCAAGAACTTTCCATTTCAAATATTTCGAAGCTTTGGGACACGTGTTAATGTTATAATTAAAAGCTAAAACTTTGCAGGAATATTTTCTAATGTGGTTGCAAGATATTTAGGGGGCGCGTAACATACATTTCAGATGTAATCGAAATAAGGACCACCTTACGAATTTCAATTGATCCGAAATACCATTTTTCGCTTTCGTAGCCAAGTTCGTAATTCTGCTTTTACAAAAGACCACTCTTTTTATCGTTGTTCTCCTTTTACAGAGTTACGCGTCCGTGCTTTAATATCGAAAAGCTGTTTTCCCCGTAAATTTAAGTCGGTGTGCCGGCGCTTAATACTCTGCAAAAGGGAACGTAGCTGGCCAAATCGATGATCGACTCGAGTATCGAAGCAACGTGAAACTTGGTTTATGTAATTCCGTTATGGGAAGTTACGTCGGAATCGTAGGCGAACGGTTAAAAATTTAGCATGGTACTCTGGAGTATTCGTTGTCGTTCGCGAGGTCTTCACTTTTCCGTATTAACTTTGTCGAACTCTATGCATGGCTAACTAACGCGTTTTAAATCTTCCGAACGAATTACCAGGGGAACCTGCTACTTTGTATACAATGGAAAATTAAAGCGTCCCGAACTTTAACGTTAGCGATACAGAGAAAAGTTACCTTACTTCCCGTACTTACACTCTTTTCAAGTAATTATTCATGCGAAAAACTTGAAACTTGTAAATGGAAAGCCCGATGCAGCCAAAACGATCCAAAACGATCGCAGAGTATAACTCCAACGCGGCTGAGCTACGCCGATAGAAATTAACGAAAGTTTGATTCGATTATTCAAAGACTAAATGCGTCGACTCGATAATGCAAGACAGTAAATTTACTCGATCGATTGAAAATGTTACGTAACGACGATTGTGCGATAGATCGCGTACATGGTCGTGTCCTTACAGAATGCGTCGAGTTCAAATCTTTGTACTCTGGATAAAAAAGAGATGCGAGCGAAATGATTAAGGAGACTCGAAGATCGAGAAAGATTAAAGGCAAGAGTAGAGCGATGACGAAGGAATAGGAGCAAGATAAAGGGTGTAGCGCGTAGGCGGTTGAGAAAATATAGACTGACGGGGGGACAGCGAGCGAGAGCATCGTAGAAACGAGAAAGACGAAGGGATACGGATCGATCAGGAAGACCGTTTCGTGGCTGTACAAGCCTCGCCTCTCTCCGACCGATGGATACGATCCAGGATAAAAGGAGAGGGCAGATGTACGTCTACGTAACTCGGTTTCGATGAGAGATCGCCAACTGTGCACATGCATACATTGCTATGCTTTCGTTCTCTGTAACGAATGGCTTCGCGATTCTACCGATAGACCGCAGAGACCACCGATTAGGTGGCTGCATTTATCTCGTCATTTCCCCTGGAGAGTGCCGACAATTTCACGGACAATCGCTCGTGATCGTGGTGCGCTAGCTCGACCGGTAAATGTCCAAGATCGTGTTGCGAATCCACGGTGAGTTGAAGGCTTGAAAGCAACCAGGCTTTTATCGGCATCCTAATAAGAAATAGACTTTTCGAAAATAAATACAAAGTCGAAATAATATGGCCACATTCCGAGTATATCCTGTCGTCCTGATTAGAAGATGATGACTTGGCCATCGTTGCGCATACGATGTGAAAAATTACATGCTCGTATAATTGGTTTTTTTATTAGTTTTATTACAACAAAGGTAACTAACTTTATAAGGAATACAACACACTTGATTCATCCTTATTTCTTTACAACTCGCTTTTATCCGAATCCTAACACCAATATACAGATTTAAAAATCGTTTATTCGTTGCGGCTATAGTTTACGTGTGACAATAATAATCGATCCATCGAAAATTTGCAAATACGTAACAAGTTGCAAGAACGCTCGTATGCAACTATACTCTAATAGCATTCAAAGAAAATCTTTCGCTAAAGTTATTATATTCTTCGTCGTATTTCTTTGTAACTTGACGACAACAAACTATCTCTAAAAATGTTTCCTAATCGATGTCAAACGAGAATGGAAAAGCTTGCGCTGCAATGCTCTAAAATATACTAAAATAAAATAACAAACCGTCATCGTTTCATTGTTTAAGGTCGATTAAATATATGGTATTAGAATTTCGGGATTTGTAAACATTTATTACACGACATTACCCTATGGCTTATTGATAGGATGAAGTAACGATTGTTATAAACGAGCTTAAAAGCTACACGTTACGTAGGAAATACAGCGACTCGCGATACCGTAATCTCGCGATTAGTCGGTCCAGAATAATCGCCGTGATGGAAGCTACTTGAGCCCTCTCAGCTTAACAATGATCATTACGTGCGTATAACAATGAATCGTAACAACGCGTGTTTCAACGCTTTATTTGACGCGAACGCAAATCGATGCCGTTCGCGATTAAAAAATGAACATTGAAACGAACGATATGATTGTTCAGACTTTTATGATAATTATTTACATTCCACTTACTCGCGAGTCCTGCCGAACTTTGTTCCGTAATTCAAATAAAGGTACGAATAAAAAGAGCTTACCGATCGTGAGTTTAGCGCGGTCGAAAATGTACGAATCTATGGTACTTTGAACCATACTAATTGTATAGTGATCGTTATCGAAGATCATTGTTTCGCTACTTTCGTCTGCGCTATCGGTTTCGCGCTGTCAAATATTAAATAAATAAAAACGATCGACAAAGACGCGAACTTTCAGCCATATAATTCTTTTCGAATCTTACGCGGTTATCGACAGTCGAACATCGATTTGGCGCTTTTGGCGCCAAGAGTTCGCGAACCATCGAATCGATTGGTTTTAAACCGCGGTTGGTAATGAAGGAACCAATTGGAGCAACACATCCGTCATGTTTTCACGGTACATATTGAACGGGAAATGTGTAAACTGTCGCGCGACAAATAATTAAGAAACGTTGGTGAAATATTGCAATTTGCGAGTGTTGGATAATAAACGTTACTAGCGTACTTGGTTCTATGACGAAAGAAGAGAAACTTTTACGTTCAAACGTGTACCGTCTTTCGAGTAAATCAACGTTCGATCTCGGATGGATAGTCTTTAAACTTTTCACGTTGTAAACGACGCGTCAATCATCTTCGTTCAGCTATCTAAGACTTTCAGAATAATCAACTGTAGATAAAGTTTCGCGTGTTTCGCGAGAAAGTACGCGTGAATCTAATTGCTGAATACGCGTCTGTTTAAACGTCTCGCTTGGAATGACGCGAAGAATGTGAAGTAAATGAGAATAGAAGATGTCCATTCGATGGAGTCTTTTTATATATGCAACATACCTCTCTCCTCGTACACTTTTTTCCAAAATTAACCGACAACAAGTTAGCTCGGACAATCGTCCTACCAAAGTTTGAGGGAACATTCGTGAAATTTCGGCTCGTGGAGATTGTGATTCGAGATGGCGACGGGGGTATCGTGCGTAAAATGGTGGCAACATTCAAGGTACGTGTCTATAACTCTGATCCATTGCTCGAGTATCTGTCCAACTTGATTGTTTCGATGAGATTTCTCACCGCGAATACCGAAGCTCGCGAATAACGGCTTACTTGCTAAGGTCGATATCACCGGTTGCAAAGAGACGTGCATTTTCGTCGATAAACTCTAATCTTGCGTCTGTCATTCCTCTTCTTTTATTTATTTCTTTTTCTTTTTTTTTTTTTTTTACAAGCGATTCGTATACAAGACGCCGTTTACCTGCAAGGAATCGTCGATTCGCTTCTCGATTGTATCGCTACTATTTACAGAAAGACCCGACCGAGTGGGTAGAACGTGTCCGTAGAAGAAGGAACGATACGGTTAAGATTTAATTAGAATACTCTTTGATGAACACAGGAATACTTGCTTCCGCTTATTTCATGTTTTTTCTGGTTTTCTTTCTTTTAATTTTTATTTATTTATTTATTTATTTATTTTTTTTTTTGTTTTTTCGAGCGACCTCAATTACGCCAATTAATCACGGCTCTCGCGCTCGATATGCAACGTCCACGCGTGTTTCACGTAAACGAGCACGAAGATACTACTTCTAGAATGAACTGACTGGCCCAAACGTGCAATTCGTTATTGCTTTAATTTCTAACGTATGCTACACCTAAACGCTGTGCTTTTGTAAAAATCCTATCTCTAAGAGTAATTTTTAATGAGTGACGCAGAGTCCGAGCGAATCGTTTCAGAAACTGCCTCGTTACTTTGTTAAACGACCGGTTAAGAAAACGAAACAAGAAATCGAAAGATCGCGCGTTTAGGCTCATCGAGAATCGATGATTCTCGCGAGTGATTTAAACGCGTGTAACAAATGCTGGCAGTTATCGTGTTCTGTAAGTATCGAAGACCATCGATATTACGTCTAAACGAAAATCATTGTTGCAACATTCGCGCGACATATCGACAAATTTTCCGATCCGTCGTTATAATGTATTTTGGAACGATGCAGAGATGATTTGTTCGTTTTTCGTCTGAATGTTGTTGAATGGCCGAGCAGCAATTAAAAAAATGTTTCTCTTTCTTCTTCATTTTGCCTAATGTCGTCGATCCGGAGTCGAGTATCGGTTCAGTGTCTGACATCAGCCTCGTCTGCTGCTTGATTTTCGAGGGTGCAAGGCCTCAAAAATTCTTGACCTCTTTCGTGAAGCCACTTGTTTGCCACTAAAAGAGAACGCATCGATAAAATCGACCGATTCCGATTCCGATTCCGATTCCGATTCCGATCGTTGGATCGTTCGATTCACATACCCCATTTGGATCCAGTGAGCACCGGACAAGCCGCGTGTCTGGTCTTGAAATCTCCTTCTCCGTTAGGTTTCAGGTTGTACCAAAATGCCGCGCTACCTTTCTTGGGCCACAACGAAATGTTGATGGCTGTGAAAACGGTACCGCCACCTTGCTCCACGTCGCTCATCTGGAAATATGCGGAAATATGCATAGATTGTGCTGAACGGTGCAAACCTGAGGCCTGTGGGGCCGCGCCGCGCCACCACACGGACCGTGAAATCGAAAAATTGCACGTGTAGGTGTCAATCGTAGTACATGAACGAAACACTTACGTAATACAAAACTGTAGCGATACGGTTGCCAGTTCCCAGACTCTTGAAAGCGTTCGTTTCTTCTTTCTATAGAGAAACGATGAATTCAATTAGTCGGACTGAAACATGAACGTAACAGCGAATTAACTCTTTCGATAAGTTGAACGAAATATCTCGCTACTAAAATATATAACGATTTAAAGGGAAATTATCAGGCGAGATATCCCATCCATAGGATCGCAAAAGCGACATTCTGGTAGCAGAGTATCGAAAGGGTTAACGCGTGCGTACATTTTGACTAACCCTTGCGAAATCAAAGTGCGGCTCGTAGTGACCGCCGATACCGTAGTTGACTACTTGCAATTCTTCGGCGGTGTCTACCGTCATGCTGGTCATTAATTCCACGCGTCTGCTCACCGCCTCTACGTGTTTATGCTCGTGTTCCTGTAGCCACGCGCTTTTACTAATTCTATAATTGGCTATCTCCAAAGCGCCGGTTTTGTAATTCTGCACTGTGGCGCGCTTAAACTGCAACGTTGAACGACTCGAATTAATGAATTCGATTACCAACCTCGCTCGAGGGTTATTCTAATTCGAACAACAATTAATTACCCTGGGTTGCGCCATTCTCTTGATCGTCTCGATTTCGTCGTCGTATATCACGTTATGATAAACGACTATCCTCGGATCCAGATACGCCTCCTCCTCTTTGAACGGCGCGATTTTTAGAAATGGAATCCCGCGATCCACGTACCGGCACTTGAGTTTCATTTGCATTTCCTGTGGAATCGAGACCTCGCCGCGGCACAGCATTTCGTATCTTTCCCTTTCGGTCATCTCCTCCCAGGGTTTCACTTTTTCCTCGTTTACGGTGAAGTGCTGAACGATACGAGACAGAAGCGAATCGATTATGCGTGTGCAGTGCCAACTATTATTAAAAAACTGTACAGATTTTACATCTGGTATTTATCGAAGCAAAGTCTGGTTGTGTAGGGGGGTTGAATCGTAATAGAATTGTATGTAATTTAACGCAAACGTCTTACTTGTTCGGGAATCGCTGTATCATCGTGACCGTCTTCGCCGCGTTTCTTCTTCGACTGGCTCGCCTTGCTCTGAATTTCCTTTTGGTAATAAGCTCGGTTTCCCAAAGCCCTCTCGTGAGTTGGTACCAGCTCCAAAAGCTCGTTCGTCATGCTTAAAGCCCGAGCTACGTTCCCTGTACAATAGAATAAATTTCATTAGCAAATCGAGTTACTCAGAGTCGAGCCGCGCCAACTTAATGTCGTATTTACGCAACTTGATATTAAATTTTCACACTGACTCGGCGAACGGTATTATTAACAAACGACTACTACGGTTCTGTAATTCTAGGATTTAAGCCTTTCGAACGGATTAAACGTCAGCGATTTGAATTTCGAAGATCTCGGAGGTTAATTCAGACGCGATGCATCGGGCAAAGTTTTAATGGACCTTTAAACAAACTAACTTGGCGAACTTGGTCGCTTGCCACGCAAAATTTCATGCCAATTAAATTCCTGCCGAGTTCTTTCAAGTACCTTTCTCGCGAAACGTTTAATGTTAATTTTACAAAAGGAGCTACCTGGCATGCGATATTACTTTCTTTTCTCAATCTTTTCTTGACATTCCAAACTACTTGGAACTTTTATTCTATAGATTCGAACAAATATTCGACTTTATTCGTTGTTCGGTACATGTCGGAGTTTACCGATCGATAAAAGATGCCGTATTCCTATATCGTTTAGGATCAAGAGAAAGAGCAAGACTAACAATGCGAGAGCAGTCTCGAAAGTTTGTAACCACAGAGTGTAAGTAGCCGGAAGCGCGAGTAATTTAGTTGCTAATTTATAATGCGCGAATTTCACGGAGCTGTGGAATTTTTTCCCCAGCTTTCCGCTCACAAATTCTTCTCCGCGTGGCATCCAAAAGCGACAAACAATTGTTATTTTAATTCGCCAACTGAATTACCTCAGCACGGACGGTTGCAATGCTGAATCGTTTCCAATATTTTTGTTAAACTCTTTCACTTTTTCCTTCGAACGAATAATTGAAGGTTCGTTCATCGTTCGCCAGACGCCAGATTCATCCGAAATAAAACTTGAGTTCGTACTCGATGATTGTTCGTATTTAAAGTAACGGTGAAACGATAGAAAGTAATAATAAATAAATAGAATGTATGTAGTATCCGCGTCTCCGATAGCCAAGAATAACGAGTCAAACGACAACGATTCGAGAATCGTGGGTTTGCGAATTTCCGTGCTTTATTTTTCGTTTAGACTCGTACACGTGTATGATTTTTGTTCGTCGTCGTCGTCGTGATACAGGATATACTCGTACTACGAGTCCGGTAGCGATTAAAACTGGAAATCTCTGATTCTACTAATTGAAATAGAAACCTTGCATGTACGTCGAGAACGCCAGGTACTCCAATATGTCCGGTTTCGAAGTCGTGGTCGCGTTTTGTTCCTCCTGAAGCCGATCCATGGCTTCCTGCATCCAGAGAACCGTATGATAGTAATCGCGGTTGTGATAAGATTGCCGTCCCAGCTCGAAGCAATCGCTGGCTGTAAAATAAAACGAACCGAATCAGAAATCGAGAACGTGTGAATTTAGTGTGAATTAATTTGAAGCTTAATGGTAAAAGCATACGATTAAAAGGTTCTTCCATCGATTCTGTTCAGAGACGGTTTCCTTGGATGCAACATGCAACACGAACGATGCAACGATACGATAGAGTTGGCTGACTTTTATTCCGAACGAATGAAAGAAAAATAAGGATAAAAAGAAACGAATCGTTCGGTCGCTTACCCCGAATCACGAAGCGACGTCGAGCTGTTGGTGAGAGGTGTGGATGGCGGCTGAAGGATTCGTTTGTTTTTATTGTTACGAGTAAATTTGGAATTTGTATTTTCAATTGAATTCTAGAGTTCCCAGGCTGTACACTGGTGCGATAAAACTCCACGAAACCCATTAATCGGTTCCAGGCTTCCATAGGGAGGCTAAAGCTCCAGACTCGACAAAATTTCAAAGTTGTTTTCCTCGAAAACAAAGCTCCAGACGAAGAAAATTTATTCTACGATTTCAACTTATTTTTCCACAAACGGTCGCCCTGTTCTTGATTGTTCCGAGCTCACTCTGTATAATTCATGACTCGATTATCATAATTACATTCGTAATAACAGAGCATGGGCTTGGTCGGAGGATACGGGAGGCGTTGAACATTTGAAAGTTAAAATTGAAAAAGAGGAACGAAAGCTTCCGCGTTCTCCTCGATCACTATAGCCGGACTGAATCGAACGATCCCACGGGATGCCAAGTTTTACCCAAAGTTTCAAGCTTTTTCATCGTCTTAGTATTTATTCTAACTGGCTTCAAAGCACCGAACTTTCTCTTTTTTCATTGTTTTTTTATTCTTTTTTTTCCCCCGTTTCTTCCTCGACGCTGGCGCGGTTTTCACGGGGAAACTTGGTTCGTTAATTAATTTCTTCGCGTTTTTCGCGAGCCACAAAGGCTTTCCTGCGCTCGTAGCGCGTCGCATTTATCCGAAGAGAAACTTGTTCAACTCGGAAATGGTATCGCGAGCGTAAACTCCTTTCGAGTACCCCTTCGAAATTCGTCGATTCAGTGATATTTTAAAAATAAAATGTACGTTCGTCCAGTGTTTGAGATGTCTGATCGGAACGAGGGCACAACGAAAATTGATCTACGTCGATAGATCATTTTCAGATCATTTAATATTCATCGATTTCTGTTCGCCTTTAAATAATGCGCGGAAATGGTTGGTGGACGTAAAAATCACTTTCTCGTAGTGGTGAAACGCGAAACCTCGATAGTAATATGAAAGCGAGGAGCGGAGGAGGGGCGAGGGAGAAAAATGGTCACGACATCAGAAGTTGCGAATTGCTGCGGCAGCATGAACCACCACGCGGGGCAAAATCAGGGTGGCCAGTCGCACGGAAACGAGGACATGGTGCTGATAAAGGAAATCACGTAAATTATTCATACCAGGGATCTTTAAGCGCAGGTAACATCGGGGGAGGCAATATTCCTGTCGATTCGCAACGTTTTCCCTCTTCCGTTAAACCCGCATAAATAATTCACGACGAAAAAGCAACGCGAAACGACGCCGACGCTTTCATTCCCCTGCTCTCTTTCGTCTCTTTCTTTTTTTTTCTTTTTTTTTTTTTTATTTTTTTTGTTGTTATTTCCTGTGCCAGACCAACACGATAGCGGAATGCGGATGGACCGTAACGAACCGTTTCTTCTCAAACACTTTGCATTCTGTATGTTTCTACTTTGCAATTCGTCGTATGTAAAAATGTTGGAAAAAGGAGAACCGAGGCATCGTATAAATACGGCAATCGGATCGGACACTCGTCCGTCCATTTGTCCATTCGACAGCGTCGTGGACGCGATCGATGCCAGCCGCTCGTGTAACGCGTTTTCCTTTTCGTAAACAAATGAAATAAATAGCGAAGAAAAGTATGGACGAACCAGTCAATCCGGTGCTGTATTGAACTCCGTTTAGAACGCCCCTGGCGACCTGTGCAGTTTCGAGTTTGTAGGTGTCCTGCAGCCTCATCAAAGCGACGGCAGCGCCGTTAAGGTCCTCGTCGGTTGGGAATTTAAGGTCGCTCCGTGAGCTCGTAATATTCGCGACGAAAGACTTGCCCACGTCCTGGGTTATCAGCTCCTCGACCCGCTTCCAGTCGGTGGTCAGTCTTTTCACCAGTAGATAAGCGTTGATTGGATTCGACAGGTACTGTTGAATGTTTCTCGAGGCTTCCTCGTGTTCCCTCGCGTAATCCTCCACGTTTCTGAAACAACCAAACATTTTACTTCGACTACCTTTTCACGAGCTTTCTCTTTCACGCAATAAAGGTGTTTACGATTTTAACCGAGTTTTATTTTTTTCTGGAATAACCCAATCGATCTTTCCGACATGTAAAAATATAACAGTCACGATTCGATATAATAATGCATTCGTAGTCGGTAATTTGATTCATATTTTGTATAAAATAAAGATATCTGTTGCGGCTTAAACATAAAACGTTTCGATACACGTACATCGAAAGTTTGATTGCGCCGGCATGTCTGAAAGACGAGTAAATCGCGGAAGCCCGGGAAGGTTTGAAAATAAGTAAAGGGAGGAGGAAAGTTGTTGCATTCGGGAATTACAGCGTGGAAACTTTTCAGCGGTCAGGAGTCGAAAAGTTGAGCCGCTCGAACAGCACCGTTCGACGTCTTCCGAGCGCGATGCGAGCCATTGTTAAGAAGACAGACTTCTTGCTTTCCCTGTAATTTAACTTGGAAACTTTAGCCACGAGAGCGATAACGGTTCCCTTGGATCACGGTTCGCGAGAGTTCGAGGCCCATCGCTAGAAAAAAAGATCCCTTCGTAGTAATTTATCGATTCGATTCTCTGCTTTGTTTCGCCGAATTTCGATGAACTTGGAATAAAGCCGTGGTCAGTGGTCGCGACGCAAATGGAACGATCGTAAAACCTCGATCGATGCAGTCTCGATACCTTGACGGATCACCGTGTTAGCAACAAGTGAGATTGGTGATAGTTTAGTGTGTTCGATTCGAGATAAAAGTAGACCGTAGGTAGTAGGGATACATCGGGTAAGACTATCTCGCTGGCTCGGCGATTGCTCGAATCTCGATCGGTTGTAGTTGTCCAACGAGGCGCGCGTTTGCGCGAATAGCAAACACTGTTCGATGGTGTACGTCCGCTTGATTCGTAACGCGCAAAAGCAACGTTTCTCCTCGGTGTCGTCGAAACGATTTACCAATCCCAGTACTTCCTGGCGTTCCATTTTCTCTTTAATTGCGATCGCGTTTCCCGACAAAGACCGATGATCCTCGCTGCACGACCGCCACCCCTGCCTTCGTTTCCGGGGTTTAAAGAGAAACACAAAGGACTTGGCAAGATGACGAGGGAATTATTCAGTCCTGTTCCCCATTTTGCCGGGCAGTGCGCAATAGGCAATAACTGGCTCCCGTAGATAACGACCGGCGGTACCCGAGGCCCCAGCCCTTCAACCCCCACAAGGGACAGAGATAATTCGCCAAGATCGTTCTAGCGCAGAAAACCCAGCAGGGATACCGGCTATCCCTTCCCGACGTAATAATAGGTCGGCCGACGGGAGAGGCGCGTGGCCCGCATGCAGATTCGCCGGGGCTCGATTAATTCCCGTACGATTCCTTTCGACCCTCTATTTGTCGCATCGCGTCGCGCGCCATAGACGCGAATTCTTGGCCGTTCGAACCTTTTTTGCTTCCGCCTCTGCCTCTGCCTCTGCCTTTGCCTCTGCCGGCCCTGGACGCTTGGAAAATTCATTTCCGATGGTAATTTCTATAGGGACACCGAGTCGAACCGTGCGTTTCGGGGCTGGTTCGAAATTTGGTTAGCCGTTTTTCCTCGTCGATGGCGTGTTTATTGGTACCTTCCAGATGCGGGGATCGGTTAACGTTTTGCGAAACTTCTTCGACCAGAGATACGGTACGTTGCTTTATCGATAGGTGCAATGGACAAATTTCGATTTCGAATTTACAGTCTATCTTGTGGAAGATGATGCGCGGTGGGTTTTGTGAAACTTTCTGGCGGATTTGGAAGCTAGGAGGTTGTTTCAAGGTTTGCAGGGCACGGATGAGACTAATAATAATAACTAACGGTACGTTACAAAGATAAAGAGGAATGTTAGCTTGGGTTAGTTACACGTATGTAGAGGACAGGCGAGTACATTGCACAGGGATTGGATCACCATTCGCACCTGTGATACAGTTCTTTACGAGACTCTTGTAATCATTTTTATTTCGCCGAGATAGAACGAAACGAAAGAACGAATTGGAAAGCTCAAGGATTAAGATTAACTCGCGAAGAGATTAGGAGAAGATACAAGGCCGAGGGCGAGGAGAAAGAAAGGGAGATGAGCCGAGGTAAAAAAGAAAGAAACCGGAACAATGTGAGATAGCGAATGGAGTCGAATAGACGATAAGAAAGGTCAATTTCATTTTGAGAGGTACAATGTATTCCCGGATCGGAGATATCCCTGGCGATGAGACTGTTTCGCGCGTTTTCTTTCGATTCTCGTTTCATCCGGTCGTTCAACTCCGAGATTGAGGACGGTGGAAGGGCGTGGAAGGGCCATTTGCGTGATCGGTTTGGCCGAGATAACGAGGAGAACGCTCATGCAAATGCGATCCAAATGGAAACTCGATCGAAACAGTGTGCTTCATCGGGACTTTAATTCGACGTAATTTGTACACGAGATGATGCACCGCTCTTGACGAACATCCAACCGATCCGTCGGCATCGACGTCGGCATCGCCGTTGGAATGGAATATTCGCCACAACGTTCGCGCCATCTCGCGATTAACGGCTTCACGAAACGCATTCTTTAACACGTTTGCTGCCAGACCAAAACACTGCGAAAATTTCTATGAATTTCACTTTGTTTCCCAGTTTACGAGCCCTATCGAAATTTCTTTTGTTGGAATCCAGGTGAAAAACGTGGTCGAGTACGGTCGTGCAGCGGACGGTGCTACGACATTATACGATTAGGAGATAGTAGGAAAGTAGGATCGTCGTGGAATGGTTAATACCACGATCACTTAGTTCCTACGGTGAAATTGCGCGTCAACTTGTGCAGTTACAGGTGGATCTATATGTAATTCGTCTGGAGGTGATCGTCGAATCTGGTTGCTCGGCAACCAATTGGTCGTCAATGTTGCGGAAAGTTGGCCATTAGTCGGTTCCAGTTCTGGCGGCCTGTTAGCGCGTCATTGAAATTCCCGTGCGAAATTTTCGTTCGGCCCGGCTCGTATTAAGACCGATGAATAATTCCTGAAGGTCCGCGGGCTGCGGCCGATGCAAATCGGCCGTGTCGAACATTGAAATTCGTCTGGTTAAAGCGTGTCGCGGAGCAGCTAATTCCTCCTTCTCAAAGATAATATTTCAGCTGGCACGCGAAGAGCAAGATTAGGCGGGCGGTGGAGGAATCGACGAAGCTCAGGAAAGAGGGAAGCGAAGACGAAGGCTCGATCGGATGGACTTAACAGCGCCGGCGGTTACAATTCTAATTAAGATGGTACGTCAGCCAGTTTCCGTTCGCGGAGGTGGAGGGGTCACGGGGAAAGCCGTGGGAAAGTCTGCGAAAACCGCAAGCCACCGAACGACATCGGCCGAGCCCGTGGTCCTTGCCAGCGTCTCCACGGAGTTATCCTGTAGCTCGTTCTCCCCGATGGAAGCAATTAAAATAATGGCGTGTTCCACGGCGACGACCTCTTCGACCTGACGCTGCAACGTGTCTTGGTCAAAGTGGCCGACTCGTGCTCCCATTATCCACCGCGACGCTATCGCCTCTGATCGATGGAATCCTGGAGAATTTCGCTAAATTCCTCCTTTTCCTAATCGTAAAGGGTATTTCGTAACACGTGGAATCCACTTTAGCGGTAGACTGTGGATCCGACCGTGGACCCCAAGTTCGAATCTCCGTGCCTTATTTTTCGTCTAGACTCCTACACAGCGAACGAGTAGCTTTGTCCAAAGTATCTTTTAAACGGGTCAATTGGCAAAGTTACGATCTTATATTTGGTATCCTTTCACACTCTTTGTAACGTTCTCCAAACTTCCTATCGATTGGCCACCGGCGCCTTTCGGAATAATATCCTTCAAGATTCGAAAGTAAATGATAGTGTTTGAGATCGCGTTTACGGTTACATCTACGTCTACGTTTACGCCTACGTCTACGTCTACGTGCGCGAAGAAACCGTGTACATGTACGGCTGCAGCCTGTATTCGCGCTTCCCGACAGGCTGGCAGATCCTTTCATAACGCGACAATCGATGGGCATTAATGGTCCCACGGGTAACACGCTCGCGCTCTCTCGTGGAACGTAAATTACGATAAATCAAGGTAATCTGTACGGATAGATGACGGACGTGTCGTTCGGGTAAGTAGTTGGCAATGTTCGCGCCTCGACTGGAATTGGCCTTGTCGCGGCCAATTCCACGATGGGATTCGCGCGCTGGGAGACCGCGCCGAGTCTGGCTTAATAATCTACGAAAGCACGGCTCTTGAGCCCGATAAATTATTCCCCGCCATTAGATCCCGGCAGAATTATTCGATTAAATCTTGATTCAGCCGGCGGACGATCTTCCGCGTATATCGACCGCGACACGTGCTACAACGCCGTCGGATTTGCTTCCACAGGAGGCGCCTATATTCCGCCTTGATCGCTGCACTTGCGAATGTCGAGGCATAATTGACCCAACAGCCACGATTCTCAGCTGTTTTTCGAGGGTAAATTTCGACGATTACGCAGTCGGATTGTGACGATTGGCCACGATGAAAAATATCGTTTCCTCGTCTCTTCTGGTCATATACAGTCTACTTTTCACTTTCTCTCCGGCACGGCACGGCACGGCACGGCACGGCGCGGCGCGGCACGGCGCGGCGCGGCGCGGCGCGGCAATCTTATTTCCGTTGTTTTGATCAATGTCGTCGTCACTGTCCGTTGGGGTAGAACAAATGGCTCGGAAATTTTCATTACGCGAGGCGGCCTTGGGAAAGCGTGAAAGCGAGGGAGGAAAGGGAGAAAGTCACGGAAGACCCCGTGCCGCAAGATAACGGAGCGCGAAAAGCGTCCGCGTCAGCGGCCATTGTGTTCCTTCGAGGACAATAGCGTCGGGGATGTCCCCATCTTCCGGCACGAAAGTTGATATCGCGATCGAATCGCGGTCCAATTGTAATTGGATACTCAGCCAGACACCGAACTGTCTGCGAACAAAAAGAAATCCTCCTTCCGTAGCTGCGGCGCGGCCGAGACGTTCACCGGCCGCGCCGTCTTATCGATTCCAATTTTCCGTGGTAATTGAGAGAGTCACTCGATGTCACACGGACCAGGTTTTATTGAAATACCAGTTACCGCGCGGGCTGCGAAACTAAGTCGGTTCGATCAACGCACAAATTACGAAATATTATTTCCTATTTTATGGAAATAATATTGGGGCAAACTTTGATACGCTTCTGGACTTGATTAAAATTTAGCGATGCAAGATCCGGTGATTGTCGAATCACCTTTGACGATACGACGTTCATAGTAACCATTGTCGAGCGCTAAGCTTCCGTAATACGTATGTATCACGGTCATCTAATTGCATTCGCAATGGCCAGCAAACAATGGAACATTCTTCAACGGTGTCGAGTTGTTATAAGCGTCCGATAGAGCATTTCTATATCTACGCTCGAATAATATTCTTCCAAGGGCTTCGAAATTCAGTTTCCAAATACACAGAGACTTTCGATCTCCCTGAGAGTCGACCCGAGCAAACTCGAGTACGAAAACAATAAACCTAAACGAAGAAAAGACGACGGAATCGGCGCGTTTCAAAGGAAATTCGCTTCCCTTACGAATTTCCAATTCGTGGACGACTTTGAAGCGACCGGAGCAAACAGGCACGAACGATCCGAGCGGGTGGATCTCTCATCCATTGAAACCGAATCGGTCGGTTCAAGGAGTGAAAATTTAACGTCCGGCTTGGCCGATACGTACACAACGGATACGATGCTTTCGGAAGTGGATGCTTACGAGGAACAGGGAGGGTGGAAACGACGCTGGTAGCGATCGCGCGTTAATGCCAACTCGGGAACGGTCGTTAGGATCCATCGGAACGAAGCAACGACAGAGTTCGGTGACGGTCAGGAGTTGGAATCGTGTCCAGGCCGATTGGTTTCTCTCGTAACGAGTGGACCGATTCAGCCACGGCCGGAATGTAAGCCTGTCGCACTTTGTCGCAGCTGCGGATGTCAGGTGAACGTTGTCGACCGTAGGGGGAAAGTCAAGCGCACCTGGCTCGTTTATTTCGGTAATTTATACGACGCCTCGTCACTTACGGCAACTAACGCTGGTTCAGCATGAAATCGATACATCCTCCCGACTACCCGCGCGACCTGTCTCAGCTACAATCAACGCTAGGCCGCGTCTACCTGTTCGAGGCTGGATTTTCCGACTTCCGTCCAATCAACCCTTCGAGGAAAAGTAACCGAGTTGTTTAGATTCTGTTTATCGCTTCATCGAACCCAGCTTCTCGATACGATGTCGCCGATACTTAATCGCTCGCGACCGTTTTTCGATCGTTCAAACTGTCTACCTATATTTTTCTTCAGTTATCGAAACGTGTATCTTGGAGCTTTGAAAACAGTGCCTATGATCGAACGAAAACACACCGTTGAAGAAATATCAGACGATTGGCGTGTCGGTGAGCCGAGTAAAACAAGACAAATTTCCGAGGGGAGATGAACTCGCGCATCGACTATTTCATAACTCGTAACGTTTGTTTAGTTGGAACGTAATCGAATCGGAGCTGGACGCGATCCAGCCCCAAGTCAGTCACGCTACTCGAAGAGTCGCGTCGCGTCACCTCGAAGCGACGGATAAACTAGCATTGTCAGAAAATACAAACAAACGAACGGGAAAAGAAAAAAAAGTACACTTCCTAATAACCGACCGATAGCGAGAACATTTGCATTTCGAGTCGTCTGCGTCTGGTTCGAATGACACGAGCGACAACGTGTGCCACGAGACGACGCGGAAACTCGATTAAAAAGCTGACCGAGCCCCGCTCGTATCGCGCCCGAGGGACACGCCTGAGGCGCGATAACGATAGTTCTTTATATTCCACCTCCGTCCAATAACGAATCCTCTCGTTAGCACGATTTCAACGTTTTCTCGTTCGTTCGTTTCTTGCTCCCGTTTCTCCTGTTTTCGATGATGCTGGACGCTCTCCATATCCCCTCCTATTTTCTCTCTCTCTCTCCCCCCTACCCCCTCCCCCAATCTCGCAAGCCACCCTCTACGCTCGCATACGCGACAGATTTTAATTAACGATACACGCGAGCCGCGAGCGATCGAACCTCGCGCTTATTTCTCACCCTCTACGCCGTGTTTTCGTCCGGTTTCGTCCTTTTCCGTCGCTATGCTATCTCCGTTTTTCTTTTCTCCTCGCGTTTCCGTGAAAAATCTCACCTCTGCGTCGACGACTTTCCCACTTTTTATCCGTGGTCTCCGTCATCTTCGACGACATTGTCATTTGAAGCGCAAACCGGGAATTGAAACTTACTTCGACCATGCTTCCTCGAACACAAAATGGAAAGGTTGACGTTTTCTCGGCGAAAGTACCGTTTTTAACGTGGCTAATAAAGCGTAAATAAAACGTTGATTCGTCTCGTTACCGTGTTATTTGCCCTGTCCGTTAACGTGTTCCGTCCTTTCTCATCTTTGCGATAACGATCGGCTTTCTTTTTCGTGACGAGAGAAATACGTGGACAATCGGCGCGAGAACCAGCGACGAGTTTTTTGCTCTCGGTAGGCCGCGAGGGGGAGCTAATTGCAGGAATCACAGGCATAAAGTTGAAAATGACGTGTCAGGATCGTTGTTAAATTTAGTGCGAGCATTCAGGCGTACGGGTTTGCCACGAGTCGCTTTTTCCGAGTTTCAGCCTAGTACAAGGGGTTAACGGAGGCTTCTTTTCGGCTCTCGTTGAAAATGTATGAGCATAGTTATAGGTACGAAGAAACGTAACGTAACGTAAAAGTAAACAGGCGAGAATGATCGAGGGTCGCGACAGCGAGAAACGAACCCTCGCGCGGCCCGTTAGGCGGCGGCGGCAGCGGCGGCGTGCCATCGATACACACCGATGCGGTGATACGAATTCACCACCGTCAACGTTCTATCAGATTTCCCATGGGGAGGGAGATGCGTTCGAAAACAGACAAATAGTTTATCTCGCGTTGGCCGTTTTGGAAACCGGTCAGCGTCCATGACTGCCAGATTCCCCGGCATTTTTTCCCCAACTTCGTTTCGAGGCCGTCGCGTCTAGTTAAATGGAATAGCCCGGTATCGAGGGGAATACCTAGAGTAACGCACGAAATGGTCGACGATTCGAAAGCTTTCAACCCATCGGGGCTAACCGCGATCCCACTCCTCCGGTTCTGCGCTTCGCTCCCTCGCGTTGAGACTCTTCAACCACCCCCAGCCCTATATCCTCTACCCTCTACCCTCTACCCTCTACCCTCTACCCTCTACCCTTTACCTCTATCTCTTTCTCTTCCCGTCCCGCTTCAACCCCTTTGGCAGGCCGCAGGATAATGACGATCGTCATTTAGCCACTTCCGGTGGTTCGATAACGTTGCGCGATTTACATGAGAATCTTCCCTGGAATTTCCACGAGATTGCGTGCCAACAGAAAAGACCGTTCCGCGTCTGACTCGGCCGTCGATCGTTTTCTCGGTCTCTGTCGACGAACTCGCGATCGTCCTTTTTCGGAACAGTATATCGAACGCGGTTCTCCAGACCTGTTTAATCCTATTTGCATAGGAAAAAAGGCAGCGCGTTTAAGCTCACCCTCGATCATAGCAGAACACAGGCGAAATAATAATAATAATAATAATAATTTATAATAATTTCTGTCCATTTTATCGATCACCGATGATCGATGCTTTTTCCATTTTAAGCCGCGACTCTTTCTTGTAAAAATACAATTATATTCGAGGACTCTCGCACAAGGACAAGCCTCGACTGCTTACGAAAAGTGTGACGAGAGCTTTATAAAGACAAGTGTTGTCGTATCTAATATTTAACCATCCATCATATCTCCTCTATATTGGTATTAATATTGTTTAAAAAACGGCAGAAACTGATCGGCGCGAGAAATGAGAAAATCGTTCGATAAAGTCGATGCGCTTGAGTATCGCAGGTTGAATAGTCGACCGCGAGATGTCGCTTGTTGTGTTATAAGCGATGCGTGCGACGCAGTTGCGCAGTGGCCACAGTATTCTGTATTCTGTCAGTAGCAAGAAGCTGGAAGCGTCTCGCGTTCGTCGTAGATCGACTGTACGGTTAAGATGTAGTGAAATTTGTATTTGTTGTTTGTTTTGAAAGCCCGATAAACACGGCCGTGATCTAATAATAATGTAGCGACAAGTGTCCCAGTAATCGCGAACGTTCGAAATTTCAATTGGCGGCCATGACCGACCGTTTGGTTACGATCAACGGAGAGGCTAAGACTCTGTTCCCTTCCGGCTTCGTCCAAAAAGTGCACCACGACTGGATCAAATCGGAGAATCCCGACGCTGTTGTCACTTGTAAACAAACGGAGGACGTGCAGATATTTCACGGTACGAATCTTTGTTGCCGTTCGAAGAACAGCGACACCGTATTTAATTGGAATTTCCGAATTTTGGCGCGAGGTAAGTGCCGCTGCGTTGTATTTTACATTGTGTTTACATTCGTTGCGATTCATTGTAAATTAATGCACTTAACGTTCGGTAATCGGTGTTTTGTTCGGCAAACGATATCGCGACGAAAAAATTCGCTGTAGCGGCAATCGTGTCGAAGCGTCTGTCGGTGTTACCGTTCTTACAATATTCGAGCAACACGCGATATTGCTTTCTGGTGATTAGTGACACGATATGAATGAAACGTAGCACATGTTATATTTATCTAGGTAAAAGTTTGCAAAGAGTAGCGTTAACTTTGAATCAGAATCTCAGGAATTTTGTATTGAAATCCGTATCGGACAGCACCAACGAGATAGGAGTTACCAATGGTCAAGAATGGTGTAACGTCGCATACGAGGGCCCCAATGTAAATGGAAACAAAAGTAACAAAGTGTACTTTGTGAAAATATGGTTTGTCGCTAATCGATACGGCACTTACCGTCAGAATGTTATATTTTACTTCGGAGAGTACCCCGTGATACTTCAGAGAATTTGCATGGATTGTTTACCGACTCAAGACTTCTTAAGGATTTACGAAGCCACCAACTATCAGTTCTCTCAGAATCCAAACGCATGGCTTAGCGATACTATGGAGATTCACAGATTCGAATCTCCTTTCGTACCACCGAAAGACCCAAAGGAGGACAAACTGTCTACTATATATCCGTATCCTGACAGATACAACTTTTTCCTAACACAGGAAACTCTTACGGATGCCCATTTAACGCCAGATAATTACAGAGGTCGTCTTCACGAATTGATTACCGTGGAAGAACTAGCTAGGCACGAACAGATAGCCAGGTATAACGTAATTACGCATATGCGTCTTCTTTCTCATTATATTTTGGCTTCTACGGGTGATGCGTCCACCGTTGCTAAATATGCGCCATCCGGTGAGCTTTTTGCCCAGGTGAGATTACCGTTAGCGGTAAAATATATGTTTCTTTCTCTTTCTGTACACCTGTTAATTTGCTTAGAGCTAGTTGTACAAGTTTTAGTAGCAAGCTAACCGTTGACATATTTCTTCTATCACTAATTTTTATCATAGCTGCCACTGAGCCGTTGTGTTTCCGAGGATACCAAAAGCGGTAGACTGTTTTTGAGAGGTTGCACTAGAGTACTTCTTAAATGTATATCAAACAATTCTAATACGCATGCGATATTCGAGGGCCACATAGAGGATAAATGTATTCAGACCGTGTATATCAGACTGTCTAAAGATTGCGTCAACAACTTAAATTTGGAAGCTGACACGGATCTGGAAGTGCAGGTGCAATTCGTGTTAAATCGTTTGCCTTTTTGCGAATGGCACAGAGCTGTGGATAGCCTTCCAGATGTAGGACTAGTTTTTTTAAACAAGATTCCCATGGAAATCGAACAACCAGAAATCGTGAATTTGCTAAACATGGATGGTTCTACTTATGAACAACATTGGAGTTTGCACGTGTTGAATCCTTCGTTGAACATTGAACAAAAAAGAGCTTTGGCTGTTATGACGGCTTCTGTACACGTTCCTCTGCCGCCTGTTCTGTTACTCGGACCATTCGGAACAGGAAAGACGTTTACCATTGCTCAGGCTCTTCATATCTTGCTCACTAAGAGCAGCGAGCACAAGATTCTGCTTTGCACGCACAGTAACAGCGCGGCGGATCTCTACATTAAAGAGTTCTTTGACGTTTGGTACAGAGAAGAGAATAATTCACGACTGAAGCCTGTCAGAATATTTTACAAAGGTCGGGCTAAAAACACGGTACGTTCCTCGAGAAGAGCAATAATTGAATAGTTGTCCATAATCGTCCATCGAAACACTCCTCTCGCTTTCATTGCGCGATTTCAGGTACACCCGGTAGTCCAAGGGTACAGCCTGATGAAGGATAACGGTACTTTTCGCGATCCAACCGAGGAGGATCTCCAAAACTGCGGTTTAATCGTGACCACCTTAGCGGCGTCTAGCTCTTTGACGTGCTTGAACTTGTCGTTCACGCACATTGTCATAGACGAAGCCGCCCAGGCGTTGGAATGCGAAGTTCTGATACCGCTCTCGTTAGCCACCCGACAGACTCGTTTAATTCTAGCGGGTGATCAAATGCAACTCGCTCCAGAAATTTATAGCGACCTAGCCAACGAACGCGGCTTGGGCGTGAGTCTTCTCGAAAGGATCTACGGAATGTACCCGCGGACTCATCCTTGTAGAATACATCTTTGTCAAAATTACCGTTCTCACGAGGACATCGTTAAATTTACGTCGGAAATGTTTTACGACGGGGTCGTAAAGCCTGCTAGTAATTTATTGGTAAAGCATCCCGTACTAGAGCCTTTGACCTTCTACGCTGTTCAAGGAGAGGAAGTGCAGGTATGAACTCGCGAGGACTCGTTCGAAGGAGTCCTCGGTCGACTCGTCGAAACCGTCGAAACTCGTCGTTTCCTTTTCAGGGTAATCTTTTGCTTTTCTGTCGGTAGGGTATGCATTCAACGGGATACGTTCACGGCACGGAAGCATACGAAGTGGTTACTCGTGTGTTGGAGCTGAAAAACAGCTGGCCGTCGGATCGTTGGGGACCATACGGCGAAGGATCGATAGGAGTACTGGCTTATTACGCGGAACAGGTGCAGAGGATACGTACGGAATTGCGGAAACGTAAGCTGGCCGATGTGTCCGTCGAAAGGGTGCTAAACGTTCAAGGGAAGCAGTTTACCGCAGTCTTTATCAGTACCGTTCGGACCAGAAACTGCTGCAAATATTCCGCAGAGAGCAACGTCAAAGACTACGGCTTTTTAACGAATCCGAGGCTCTTGAACACAGCTATCACGCGAGCAAAATGTTTCGTGGCGGTGGTCGGTGATCCGGTTGCGCTTTTAACGATAGGTTCTTGCCGGAAGCTCTGGCGAAGGTATCTGGAAATTGCCGATCTTCACGGTACGAATCGAGAAGCCGTCAAGTATCATCTCAGCTTGGTCCCCGAGTTCCTGTTCACCACGCCATTGAATCCACTGGCAGAGGAGTTTGTACCCAGGAATCAACAGCACGGTTACCTAGTTGAGTACGTACCAGTGCCGATGATGTACCCGGTGATTCATTGTCGGGATTTCTGGAAGTAGTTATCCTACGGCTTTTCTTATTTTTCATTTTTATTTCATTTTTCACCAATTCTGTACATATCTATCAACTTTTGATGACCAGCTGTTTTTGGTAGTTTCATATACATACCCCCCGTTCACGAATTTAGTTGCTACAATCGGTGGAAACGATACAGCGAAATCCTCGATATTTTCTGCTAGATGATACAGGATTCGAAATGTTTGTGCTAGCCGCCAACAAAAACAAATAAATAAAGTCGAGATGATTTCGTTTATTTCATTGTTATAACTTTTACTGCTCGTCGTAAGAACTGATCGAAGGAAGATGCTGTGCGATGTATCATAAGAATGCGATATACATACACGTGTTGTAACAGTATTGAATATGTTGACACAATAAAAATTAAACATGTCTGCTAATACAAGTGTGTGCTCGACAAACGAGGAAAGATCTCTGAGACGTTGGTTTAAGCCCGACGGAAGCGAGAGATGGATAGTAGAGATAGTTTCCGAGACGTTTGTTGAACGTTCAATTAATGAAATTGTTTTCTCCAAATTAATTTTCAAACCTTGAACCTTGAACGTCTCGAAAACTGTTTGTGCAACAAGACTGAAATTTTGCAGAGATTAGTTGACACGACGCTAAATGCTTCTGTAAAGTAATGGCAAGAGAGGGGATGGATTGTGGCCGTGACACGCAGTGGGAGAACCACCCTTGCGCAGTTGAAATATCTGGCGCTCGCACCCAATAATCTACTAGTCTTTATACTTGTACGAATCGAGATCGGGCTCGGCCATGCGAAAGGTAAACGTGTCCAGAAATCATCGATTGACGATGCCCGCATGCTCGCATGCTCGCATGCTCTACTTCCATCGCGACGGTTTCGCTATATCTTCTCCACCGATTATATCGATCGATCGTTGTTCTATTCCATGATATATTAACCCGGGCTTATGGTTTTTCAGTATTGCCGAAGGCAGATCGGTTCATAGATCGTTGACTTTTCTGTTAGTTTTCTTATTGATATTTATCGTAGCAACATCGTTTTTAAGCGTATCTTTACCCAGTTTTTCTCAATTTTTTCAGCGAATCATGCTCGTTCGGCCGGTAAACGTATATTTACTTCAGCTTTCATTATCGTCCTTCGAACATTGTTACTCTTCGTTGTATAGAACGAAATTTTGTGATAATCTATTTTCTACATGAACAGAGATGCATACTTAAATACATAGATACGTACATATACATACATATACATATATATTTTTTTTTCCACGAAGCAGAATGCGACTATCGCTGTTACTTTCGTCGTGTGAGTTTACATTTGTATGAAAGCCTTGAAATAAAGAAAATGTCTGTACGTAACGTTTCGTTTGTGGTTTGCATTCGCGACAGGAAGAGTCAAATGGTCACCGACGAGCCTCGAGTGGTTGAAAGGTGAACGCGAAAAGTGCTGTTGGTCTCTCTTTTGAAAACCGGGCACCTTTAGTTTCGCGCGTCGAATGAATGCGGACGACGACGCGCGACGGACAGGAACAAAGGGGCGACCGTCTGCTTTTATTTCTATAATTAAGGACCACTCTGCCGAGCATTACGGCGAAGCATCTTTGAAAGAAAACAAAACAAAGAAAAGAGGAATATATACTCCTGCGTACGCAACTGCTCGTAAGCAATCTTTCCGTCGATCCTTTTCCCCGATCTTTGCTATTTTCCCAACAAATATTAGAACGCTGTTAAACGATTAACCGTTTATTTAATAGTGTCGCATTTATTATTGTTTTTCCATGGTATAGAAGAGCGAAGTATTGTTGACGTAACGCGTGGAACGATTTTCGCACGATGGCGTATAAAAGATCGAAAATAAAACGGAAGAAGAAAAGACAACTAAAAGGTCCCGTGACAAGGGGCCGAGCGAATAGGCACTTGCAGTTAAACCTAATTTTCTACTAACAAGGGGTAGATCGCCGAAGGCATCGACGGAATTCCAGCAATATTCTGCTCCCTTCGGTGCCTGGGGACGTCAGATCGACCGACCGTATGGAATTTATAGTAGATACTTTCGCATTTGAGACAAGGTAAGTAAGTTAGTTTTTCATTTCACCCTGGTTCTACATCAAGTTTGCTGGACTAAACGTTAAACGTGCGTTCAACTATTATATTTCATTCGTTGTCTATACACTTACACAAACGGTGGTTTATTATTTGCGACACGAAACGTAAGAAATGCGACATAGTCCAGAAAGAGGAGACGGGCTATTACGCGAACAAGCTCAGAAACCAATATTTTGGTCGTTTCCAGTCGATACAAGTCGATACAAGTCGATACAAGTCGATACAAGTCGACACAAGTCGATACCAAAGTACCGCGACCGGAGAGATATTACACGCCGGCATTAGCTTGTTTCCAGTCGCCAGCGTATATCGTCTTTTCTTATTGCGCCGTAGGCGGAAAGTTATATCGGCGACATTACGTCGCATCGCGTCGGTACCATCCATATTTATATCGGGGGAGGGAAAACGAGTCGCGATATATTGCGCCCATGGTTGCAATAGTCTCGTGATTTCTGTTCCAAGAAGGACTTTGCAAAATGCGTTCCGGTACGTTGTACGTTGGAACCGAGCGCGTCCATTTATTAAAATCCATCTGTTCTCACGTTTCACTGATCGATCATCTTCGACAGGCTACTCGTATAAACACTTGGTTTCAATTCGCGAGTACTTTGTACCGTTTAACGTATGGCATTAGGGAACGGCGAGTTGCATTCGAGCCACCATTTCCGTCGGGCGCTCTAACGACGCGTACCTCTCCAACGTTGCGGAAGATTGCTATACAATCATATTCGTGGCTCGTTGCTTCGACATTTTCCAGCGGTTGTCCGGCTCGACGGCCGATGTAACGTCATCCCGGCGACGGAAGTCGATACGTGATAACGCGATCTAGTTGGTGGAGCGTAATTGCCGCGATCCGCTTGGTCGACGAATTTTTGGTATTTGGGACGCGTTTAGACGATTCACGGATCGAATTTCGTCCTCGACGGTTTGCTTCTTCTTCGTTTTTCTTCAATAAATTGCTTCTCTATGGAAGACATAAAACCTGAGTGTTTTATTTGCCGAAATATTGAACAGACTGAAACGAGAATACGAGAATACGAAACGTAGGGTTCTAATCTCCGTGTCTTTTTTTTTCGTTTAGACTCCTACGATAATATGTAGATAGAGCGTCTCGAATTTCATGGCCGCGAAGGGTTTACGCTTTTTGGTTTGCCCCGTAATTTCGAAAGCTGCGCGTTTCTTGAACGCCAACTTCCACCGAGCGGTTAACGAGGAACGCGTCCGGCCACCGATTTCCTCTTTCAAAACCGAGCCTCGCGTAGAGTCGAGCCATTTTCGTTCTAATTGCACCGCTGTTATCGCGATACAGAGGCAAGCCGCGAGCTACGAAAGGGCACGAGGTGGCAATTTCGCCGGTAATTGAAATTTTTGTCAGCAGCTTCGATAGTTTGGCTGGAGAAAATTTGATAACGTCTAGTCGCGACATTGCTGCGCGAAGGAGAAATATTAAAAGGAAAAAACGAAGAGAAGAGGGATCCGTACCGGGAGTAAGTCACCGCCAGTGGCGAGTTTACCCTCGACTAGGAGAGGGAAGTTTAAAGATTAATCGACAGCTAATTAAGGGCCGTTCGCTGGCTGACGGAGGATAATTGTATCAGGCAAGCTGCATTTCGGAGTTAATACCGTGGTTGATATCGGCCTGGGCAGATACGGCGATGACAGCCGCAGGCTGATATACATCCCGGGGCATTGTCGCGAACGCGGGACACGTAGAGATGATGCGGCCAGCCCGCACACGAACGTGGCTAATGCGCATCTTCGATGCACGGTTACATTTGTGTGTACCGTTGACCGTAACTCCGTCGACACAGCTTGCGTCTACGGATTCTACTTGCTCCGGCGATATTGTCTAGCTGCGTGTCAGCGCGTTGTTACCCCCGGAACGCGACCCACCGATAAAATTATGCCCGCGACGAGTTACGTTAACGGACCGAACAGGGACGTCGCGATACCGCTGGATTATGGTAATTCGCTGTGACGCGGAAACCGGGATCCCGGCTGTTTACCGGTGCTTGGATGATTTCGATTAACAGCGAACGCTTCCGAGTCGAACGACCGGCCTATATTTTGCTTCGAATAAGAAGCCCGCTACCCGCTCCAGCTACCTACGTTCACTGGAACATTCGTAAACTGGATACGACTGTCCTTTGTTTCACGATTACTAGGGAACAAGTCGGAATGAATTTTCGCATCGCTTCGAGCAAGCTTAAAATGCACGCTAGAGTGTCGTCATTTTCGAGTTCTAAATTGCCAGGACCACCCCATTTACCGTTTCGAGATCGCCGAATTGTTCATCGATACGTTTGAGCGGGATCGTAGAAAAGCCAAAGTTACGATGCAATCGAGGCCTCGTTCCACACGTTCGCCCATTAGACATTGAAAATGGAAGAAAAAGAGAAAGGACGAACGCGAATGCGCACCCTCTCTCTCTGCACTGTGTGTGTGCACACCCCGTCGTCCTTAACCCGTTAACGCGCTAAAAACGAAACAACTCGTTCGAAAAGTTTCGTAATTACAAATCGTTTAAAAAATGTTTAAACGTTCCTCCTCCGGTACATTCCGATGCGCGCGTTTTACTTTGTTTCTATCCATTGCGGATGGTATTTATTTTATAACGAAAGGTTGATATCCGTCATTTCAAGAGTCGGAAATTGTACAAGAATAATTTGTCGAAATTGCTTGGGCGATTAAAAATGGAACACGGAGAAATTTTCTACTGAAAAACATTCGGCCAATAAAGCGTTTACAACCGTGGACCAATTTCGCGTGTCATTTCGGCGGTTCTCGGTCACCGAAACTCAACGAAGCGCGGGTGAAAATGAAAATAGAAAAAAGCAAGAGGAGAAAGAAAAATGGAATATAGGATCGTGTTGCAGGCCACGTGGTACACGGCAACAACTTTGTTCGGCCTTTGTTCGCGCAGTCGAACGAGGGGACGGAGTTCGACACGCGTTCCCAACTACGTACATAGATTCGAACGGCGCGTCGCGGCGACGAGTTTAATCGAACGCGTGTAAAGGGCGCTACAAGCTCCGGAAAATTTCAGTGGGCTGTCGGCAGGGGAGGAGAATTGACTTTGGTATCGCGTCGAGAATAATTCGCGATCGATCTCACGATATATTCGTTCGCGCATCGAGGACGACCAAGAGGCGCGTTCGTCAAATTTTTCCTGCCGTTGAAATTTCCAATTAAGCACGGCCGAGCGGTCCTCGCGGTCTCCGGGGAGGGTCGACTGAAATTCCCAGAATGCATAACTGCGACGCCGATTTCGTTTGATCGTGCAGCGCGGCATTTCGCGCCGAGACTCTGATAACCAGCCTCGCGCGATCTCGCTCGGCAATTTCTCTCGATCGAACGCGCCACTCCAACTCCACGAACGGCCCATATTTCTAACGCAACCGTATCGTGGCTGGAATCACCGAGGAAATTTCGAGGTGAACCTGGTTCGTTCAAAGGAAACGTTACGCGCGTGTCACTTGTCACTCTTCGCGTTTCGTCCGTGTACTTTTAATTACTCAAAGTGCCGATCCAGCGTTAAGTTCGTTTTTCGAGTTTCCCCCGTTTTCACCTCTCGTAAATTACCGTCCATATCGAAATTGAATTGAAGTTGCACCGTCGGATAGTCTGTAACGGATTCTGCAGAACTATTCCACCGCAATTTTAACGAACGGCCAACAATTCAATTAAAACGCGCCGCGCGCAGCCGAAATATTTCGAAAACGGCCTTTCGAAATTTGTCGAATCAACGACCCGGAGAATAAATACGCTCGATTTCATTGCGTTTCGATTCGATCATCGGCGAATCGAATTAAATTAAATTCTCTCTCTGTACTTTGCTTTAATTCGATAAACAGCTCACCCGTAGTAGATAACGTGATGGAATTACAGACGAAACGTTGTTTCTTTTGTTCTTCCGACAGACCGACTCCGATCGTTGCAGCTATGAAATTTCGACGATTTTACTAGCATTCTGTTAGAAATTACGGTTCAGGTTAAGAAAATGGGCTGATTTTTGATCATAGGTAGCTCTTGACTTGGCGATTACGATGGTGGTCATCTTGACATTTAACTCCCACTCTCCCCCATCGGTCAAAAATTGAAATAGTTGAAAAAAATGTTGTTTTAATAGATCATTTTCAACTGTTTTTTCCGTGGTAAAACATTAAAGCATCAGGCCCGAAATCTACTGTCCGAGAAGGTTTGAGCTAGTTTTTGGTGGGGGGGCGAAAATATCGAATATCGTTAATGTACATGCTGTCTACACAGTGCATTCCAACGCACACGATTAAAAACTTTGCATCGATTTCTAACGTTCTTCGACGTTTGCTTCCATGTTTGTGGCTTAAACGACCAAAAGACGTTCCGTGTCAAGTTTACGTTTCAATCTCGTCGCGTTATAATTGTTTCCACCCTGCTGGTGGAGAAGCCAACCATTCGGAAACTTGAGTCTGCCTTTGATAAGGATAACGTTGAAACCGAGATTCGACGAATTGGTTTCGAATGTTTCCTCCAAAACGACCAGTTTCGCGTTAACCTCCGCACAATGAAACGACTAGCGATCCTAGAATTTCACGTACGATCGTCTAAATACTAATTCTAATATCTTTCGATAAGGCTGGCTCATTGGAGATTCAAGATTCGTTTGAGCGTTCGAGAAAATTACAATTGGAAAGGACACTTTCGCGAAAGGACCTTTTGCATCTCCCTCGATTCTTCTCGTGGCTCGAAATCTATTCCGAAAAGGATCTAGCAAGTTCGATTCGATCGAACGAGGATCTATTACCGCTGGAATATCGAGTCACGCGTTCCTTGGCGGATACTGTTTGACTCGAAGAAAATTTCGCAGCGTTCGACGATCAAAAGATAAGTTTCCAACAGCGGTAGTCGGTATTAACGGCAGTTGGACGGTTCCGATCGTTTCGCGAAGTCACGCGTGAAACTTTCGGACAGGAAATTCCGATCGGAACTCGAACGGTTTCCTGGATATTAAACGGGAATCCGTCGTTGGTAGCAAGTTTCGGAGGAATCTGTTCTACGTGGCCTAGAAGCTAGTTCGTGGCACGAACACACTTTTCGCACAAGGCTACTTTCATTCTAGGCGCGATCTTCTTCAACGATTCCGTGACCATTCTTCTGTTTCATCGAAAACCTACGAAATTGCTTCGCTCAAACAACCATCACGCTACCCTTAGGGTTATTATTTAAAAAAATCATTTTCGTTTCGATGTATTCGCAGATTAGAAAAGTAACCCTTGTCACTAGGATGTCCCGTATGATGGGAACATCGTGAGTCGAAGAAATGTTGTCACGTCGATGCTTCAAGATACCTATAAGATTTTGTAATCGAGTCTAATGTAATGCGATTCCTGTTGGCACGTTTTGCAACGAGATGGCGCATAGCGCATACGGTTAAAATCTTTCGATCGAATCGTACCGCATAAATGCAATTTCGTATTCGTAACGCGTCGCGTTCCCGTCGATTATTCGAAGGGTCGCGGAAAAATGCTAGTAGGACTAGCAGAACCAGGAATAAAAAAGATTTCCTCCCGACGATCGAGGCTGAACGACGCGGCGTGGCGCGGCGCGACGCGGCGAGCCCTTATTCTCAGCCGGCTTTCTTCTTCTCGGTCCCCTTTTTTTTCTCCATCTTCCCCGGGGTGTGATTTGGCACGTTGCCCGGCCCGATATTCCGATGCCTTGGCCATTTCGAGGGCAACGGGGAAATAAGAGGACGGGGGGTAGAGAAAAAACGTTAAGAACGTGGCCTGGGCCAGCGCGCTGCTTCGCTCCCTATCTCGAATTTCCCGAGGAAACCACCGCGACGACGATTCTCGTTCTCTTTCCGCAGGTGTAATATTTCCGTGGCTCGAGGCTGTCCCGTTTATTTTTAATCCGATAACGGTGTAATTACTTTCCCAGAAAGGGATGAGAACGATAGCATCTCTTTCTTCCTCCTTCTTTCTCGAGGAAGGAAATAATCGGAGATCTTTGTCCGAGATACCGATGGCTCGAACGAACGAACCACTCGCATCTTTCAGAGTATCCGACTACGATGTGTAACAAACAGAATTCGAGTAAACCATCGAGAGGAACCATGAAAATAACTAATTCTATCTTGGAAGGCGTTAGGCCTCGATCTGTCTTGAGAATTTTTTATTACTCGCGAAGAAGAAGAACAAAATATAAGTTGAATGTCAACCTCTCGGGATAAAAATCCCAGACTTTTTACGATCGCATGTTCTTACACGTGCGTTCGACAGTCATACGGAGTCTCTAATCGTAGTCGAGTCACGTGCCATCCATTCTACACGAGTCACGTGCCCACTATTCGCCTCTATTTCCTTTAAACGAAAACCTCTGCCGTCTGTTTTATTTTCCAGGGTAGAAAGTGACGTGTTCATCGATCGAAATCATCATTTTCCTGAATCAAAAGTGCCGTCATTGTATCGATCGCGTTCTATACAAGACCTGTTCAATTAACCTACGACTTTGTCGATATTCTGTTCTCGAGATATTGTAGTATTCGCGCTTCCCATACCCAACAATAAGGAGTCAAATAAGAACACGAAACGTAGGGTACGGGATTGGTCTTGTAGGTAAAGCGGTCGACTGCGGATCCGAGGATCGTGGCTTCGAATCCCCGTGCCTTATTTTTCGTTTAGACTCCTACAGTATGAAATTTTAACGGATTATTAGGTTGACCAAAAATTTCGTTTGGTTTCCAAGGATCGTCGCATCGTCCATAAATCTGCGTAATCGAATAGATGAAAGTATCGAATAGTAGAGAGTTTCTTTCTCGCGAGGTGTTTGGCAAAGCAACCGCGTAAGCTGGAAACGCTTTGAAAATGTCAACGACTCTTTGGCAACCATGGAAAAATGTCGCGTAGAAAGAGTCGAGCAACATTCCCGCGTTTCAATTTGCCCTCGTTCGCGAGGGATTAAAATCGTCGAATCCCGGGGCCCGGCCGGTGTTCCATTAACTTTTTAGAGCGCGGCGAGAGGAGGAAAAATCCGTAAAGCCGTAAATACGAAAATCCATCCGGGGTTTCCGCATTGACCGAATTAATTTTCTTTCTCGCTCGGCTCGCGGTATCGCAAGAGTGCGCTCCACGTCGACGGGGACACCAGCGCGGCGTTAATTATTTCCCGGGCCTCGTTCAAACGTAAACAGAGCGCCGCACGAGCCGCATGAGCCGCGCGAGCCGCAAGGATATCAGCGTGTCAAAGACAACCACTCAAAGGATTCGGATCTCTCATATCCGCGACGCGCAGTGAACGAGAAACCACGAGGACGACTCTCCTCGGTTCGAGGACACCCCAGAACTCGTCGAAATTTATTGAAAACGTAGAAACGCCAAGAAAATACAGAGACGACTGTACACGGTGAGCAAACCTCGCGCCTCGCGTCTCGTCGAGAAAATATTTTCACAGCGGTCAGAGGATCTTGCGTCCTCTCGCGCGAAACCGTCTCTCGATTTTCCTTCGTTTCGACGTTATTTAATTTACTAGCCAACGCTGGATTTTTCACCGCTTTCACTTTTATTTAAACCATGTTCAAGTCCACGAATAAGCTTTCAACGAAATCAAGATATCCATTCCGTTGCAAGTATCGTCATTTCGAGAGATTTTCAAGTTGTTGTTAGCTTTGGCGAAAAAGGCTCGTAAACGTCGCTACGGAAACGGAAAGGTAATTGCAACACTCACTTTCGGAGAGTAGCCAGACGCTGTTCCTGAGCCTTGATGTAACCGTTGAGCGTGTCTATGAGAACCGCCTCCGTTTCCAACAATTCCTCCATATCCGCCAACGCGGTGTAGAGCTCCGCGGCGCTGTTGGGGATCGTGCTCGCCGATATTAAAATCGCGACTACGATCGTCAGCATCCTTTTGGCCTTCATCCTCGTCCAAGTTCTGCAAACCAGAGAAAAAAAGAAGATTTTAACGTTGAACGTTGAACGTTGAATCTACATCGCGTTGAAAACGCACGCTTCATACACTCGAGGCAGCAATTCGTTTCACCGATTAATAGTCGTCGGCGCGATCGACTATCCTTTCCATCGCTTTCCTCCTTTTTCGTTGTATTTATTTTTCTCACCCTCGCCGATTCACCTTTTTCATGGAAAAGCGACACTAACGAGGATCAAATGAAGATAGATGGCTATATCGATTAATCAACCGGTGGAAAAAAAATGTTCCTCGATTGATTCGTAGCATCGTAGTTTCGTGCTTAACGCGGCCTCGTCCGTTAGGGAATAAAATATCGACTCGTAACGCTTTCACCCTCGACGCGCTCGATAGATTTATCGACAGATCTCGTTCGAAGCGATACAGAGCGAGGGAAAAGTCGCGCGAAACTTAATCGCGACTCGATCCGATCCGATCCGATCCGATCCGATCCGAGTCGATTATCGCGATTCATCGGGGACTTGTCGATGTTTCGTTCGTCACTTTTTTTTCTTTCTACACTGTCCTATTCAGTCTCGCGACGTTGTATTCGAGCGAACAAGTTTGACGAAACTTTCGTGATTGCATTAGCATTCAAAGTTGCGAACAAGAGCCGCTGTCGTCTCTCCGTCCGTCTCTTTTCGGACGCGGGTTCCACTAAACTTGCCGATCAGTAAGTCTCGTTCCTCGCGTCGAGTCTCGGCTGCTGTTTGTCGATTAAGCGGTACCCGTCTAATTCAACCGAATATGCAATATTTTACTTTCACTTTTCACGCGATACAAATGGAACAAACCCGCGACCTATGACAAACTTGCCTCGCGATTGAAATTTATATCGCCATTCGTATTCATAATTCCAGGCGAACCGTATTTGTCGCGGATAGAACGGTTCCCGCAAACTTTTCTCTTCTTCTTTTTTTCAACGAAAAATTCACGATAACGATGACGTGTATGCTGTACGAGACACAAGAGAATATTGCTCAATCAAAGTTTCGAATAAACGTTGCCGAGTTCTCCTCTATACATACAGGATGTCACACCTAAACCAGGCCACCCGAATATTTCTTTAAATTGCAACCTGACTTATAAATGCATGTTTTTTCCTATCGTATTATGTAGCTGACGTGAAAATACGATTGTCTTCTGCTTTTAGTCGCGTTATCGCTGGTTAAACATATTTTATTAATTTTTCTCTTGGAAGCGGTTGGCAAACGAACGAAAAAATACGAATCTCTCTCGCGATCGAGAAAAGTCTGTTTTCGCGTGCACGGCGTCGGCGTCGGCGAGCTATCCAGAGGGTTCGTGTGCTCCGTCTCAGGACTCCAAGTTTTCCGAAGCCAGAGGATTAAAGTTAGGGGAGCCGCGCGACTTACACCTGCCCGATCGACGATTTATTCCGTCACGCTGCTCGATCGCGAACTTCCAGCCTCGTCTTTCCACTTGAAACCTGCATCCCTCCCGCGTTCCCCAGTCAGCCCGTATACCCTTTCGCCTTCTTTGTTCCCGTTTCACGGGCACTCGAAAGTTCAAAAGCGGTCGCTCGAGCACGCCAAAGCACCTCGCGAAACCACGAGAGCCTCTGAGCCCACTAAGAAGAGTTCGGGGAAACAAATTATAAATGTTGATCGAGACAGCGGGCCAGGGCCAATCGGCCAGGGAAAAAACAGGCGGCTCGATATTTTCCAAACTTTCCTCGATTCCAGACCGCTCTCGAGAAACGGATCGCTCGAAATGCCAAAAAAAGTAAAAAACCCATTCCTTCACTCGCATTTTTTAACTCTCGAACGCAAGGGGAATTTCTTAACGGTCTTATCGCCAAAAATTTAAATCATTTAACGCGTTCGTTGGCACGTCAGCCATCTATCGATGACAATGCTTTACACCGAAACAACTAACTAAACGAATTGCGAAAGTCAAGTGTCGAAGAAAAGAAATCTAGATGGAATATCTTATAAATATAAACAGCACGATAAATGTAAGATCCCAGAATTGTTTTAAAAAAAAGAAAAAGCAAGCGAACCGTAAAGACGTACCACCGTATTCCATTCTATAATATTATTTACACGTACGCTTGTAACACAAAGTCGTTGTGAATATTTTATTTTACGCTACAAACCCCTTTCGGTAATCACCAGCGATCTCGTGCAATCTTCGAGAAGTCGTTGTTCGATTATACCGATGCGACGTATCACCTTCGCGTGGTATGTCACCGCGTGACAAGCAGAGAAGGAGGAAACGGGACATAAAAAATCACGATTTCCGTATCGGTTCGGCTGAAGGGAAAGAGGGGCCGAGAGGTCGCAGAGGAAGCGCAGCGGTGACCGAACGGGAGGAAGACAGACCGTTAACGTTTTACGAACTTTCGGAAACGGCTCTTCTTCGGTTTCAATGGCCCTTCTTTAAGCTTTTTCATCCGGGAAAAACGAGCGAACACTCTCGTCGTCGGGGGAATGACGGGACGAGACGAGACGAACCGCGGCAAGGCAAAGCGTTTCCACGGGACAAAGGGTTCGCGGCACTTGCTCGCGAAAATACAGTTTCAGAAGGATTCGGAGAGGATGTGCGGGCAGCGGACTGCGCCGGTTCCGGTGTCGGTCGGCCGAACGTAAATCTAATCATTTCTACGTAATTCACCGCGGCTGACCGCACTTTGACCAACACTCGTTCCACTTATCTCCCGTGTCCGACCGATCCTGCGGCCGCGGGCCGTACAGAGGATCCGCGCTTCGCTCCAAACCAACGCTAATAACGTTTTCAACTGTTGTCGAAACGATGTTACCGAAAGGTCAATCCTTTCGACCAGTGTCTCTCAACCGCGAACGACCCCTGCGGCAAAAGCTCGAGTATTCCGACGCGACGGGATCACGCACAACGACTTGGACTCATGATTTTAGCTTCTCTGTCCAACTTTCGAACCTCCCTCGGGGCTTGCAGCTACACGATCGAAGAAATTGTTTTCAATTAATTAATAAGAAATCATTGATGCAAGAGAAAAGTACACGTGTGCAAGAGTGGCGATCCCGAAGTACTGATGTCTCGTGACTGGACCAATGGGTACAATAATCGATATAGATATAGATACCTACTCTTACGTGATAAAAGAAAGAAAGAAAGAAAGAAAAAAAGAATTTCAGTTGTCCCGGATAAATGATCCATCGCAGCCACGAGTACCGAATCGAACGTGCTGTTCAGTATTTTCAAGTGGATCCACTCGCTAAATGGGAAAAAGAATATTGAATTTCGCGGTTCAACGTAATTCCGGGAACTTAAACGAGCGTCGAGTCGTTGAACTCTGTTCGACCGTAGTCCGGGTCCCGAAATAGCCGGCGGGTAGCAATTAAAAGCTCGAAGCCCGCTCGAGGCAAGGATTTTTCGCGGGGAATCACCGTCGATGCACGCCACTGCATATTAAATTAATTCTTATAAATTGCTCGGACTCACCCCCCGAAGATTTAAAAGGCCGCAAACGAAACGGCGAGAGGCTAGGGGAAGGGAGAAAAGAGGAAGACGACGCCGACGCGGCGTCGCGTCCCGGAAGTCTCGGTGAAAGGACGGCGTTAATTAACCGCCACCCCGGGAGAATAGACGGTTCGGGATAAAGCGGCGCGACCACGAGCGGGAATTAAGGTGTAAAGAAGGAGAAGAGCAGCCGCGGAAAAGAAACTTTGAGAAAAAACGAAAGGAGCAGCGAAAGCGCCGCGCGTTAAGGTTGCGTCCAGATTCGAGTTCGCTTAAATTCACGATAAAGCCACGATTGATTTAAAACCGGGACGGTGTCTTTCGGTCTACGTCTCGCGTTCCTTTCGTTCTTTTTCTAGTTTCGAATTTCCGATGGACAGGGGTCGATTTCTGAATCGCATCGAGACCGAAACTTGGCCAAAAATTGCAACTATCGTTCGAGCGAAGCTCGTACAAACAAATCACCGCGACAGAAAAATATTGCATGGAAAATTTCGCGGAATAAATCGCGAGCGACTTAGTAAAGGTACGTTTGTCGAACCGTGAACGAGCATTGTTTCCAGCGTTCCTGGTTCCAGGTTCCAGGTTCCAGGTTCCAGGTTCCAGGTTCCAGCCGATGAAAACGTAAAACAACGAACAAAAGACACGAGAGAAAAAAAAAGGACGCAAAAATAACACTCTGTTTTCCAACGTATCCTATGTGGCGGCGCGGCGGGTACGCGAGGACAGAAAATATGTGGAAATAACGACGCGGTTCAAAATTCGTGACTGGCAAGAAAGAGATTTGGGAAGAAATTCGAGAAGGGAGGGGCGTGGTCGGAATAACGACTCTTCAACAAGAACCCTTAACGCGTCGACTACTACTTATGTAAATTGATTCATATGGAATATTTACAGGGTTAAAATGTTGTCTCGAGGCAATTGGGGGGAGGGCAGGAAATATCGATACAAGTACGATAGAAGGATTTTATCCTTTCGCGTCTAACCCGAACCGAAGCACAATTTTTCCTATACGACGCGACGCGACGCGACGCGACGCGACGCGACGCGACACGACGCGACGTTCTTGAGAAAATTGAGTTCCAATCTGCTCGATTACGGTCGGTTGAAAATGAGTTAACGGCTCGGGGCTATCCGATAGGTTATCCTCGCTGCTCTGTCTTTCGCGCGTGTTAGAAATATCGAAGAAAAGGCAATGGTTGATGGAGTTTCGAAACCGTAGAAAATGAAGACTCTCGACTGGCGAAAAACGATGGAAACGCAAAAGAACGAAAAGAAAATCGGCCAGAGTCCGGCAAACTTTATACGCGATTTCAATATTTACGAGGGAGCGAACATCGAAAGTATGGGTTCCGAAATGAAAGGCGAAAGGAAGCTGTAGAAACAGAAGCAACTGGGGTAGAATTGGGAAGAATGTAAATCCAGAGGGAAATAAATGGTTGTCTGGGAGCAGCTAGGAGTAAGCGCAGCTGGTTTAAGGTTGCACGCACAGTGTGACGTCGCGAGAG